CTTGAAGATTACTCAGATTAACAAGCACGTGAAGAAGGTTGTGATAACAAAGACAAGGATAATAGGTTGCATGTAAATAACATATTTACTGTTCCACTATCTTTTGCCATTTTTATTCATCTAACTTCATAATTCCATCCTCCCAGAACTTTTTTTATCTTTCTCAGCAAAAAAAAAATAAAAAAATTAGGTGCCTTTTGCAAATTTTCAGGGAATTGATTTTTATTATTATTTTAAGAGAATCATGTAGATAGTAAAAATGGTAGTCTGAAGTGCAATATCTAATTGGTATCACAAATGAGTAAAAAAAACTGGAGCAGCAAACAACTAGTCATTTAAAAAATTATCAAATTTATTTATTTATTTTTTTTCACAATGATGTTAACTCTGTACAAAGCCCAAGAGCCACTCAAGGTAGAGGCTTACTGAGTAAAGCACATAGTTTATGGAGATATATTGGGAAGATAACAGTTGACCGTAGATTTGAAGAGGTTAAAAGATTGTAGTGATCAGGGAAGCATCCGCTTTTGGAATCAGTTCCAGAAAGCAAATAATAATAATATTAATATGTTGGTGCCAGACACTGATGTAATCAATGGAAATTATGTTCCTGTTTCATGGTGCCTACAAGACTCCTCACAACTTGAGAATTTTTTTTCACAGAATCCTCGTAGAGTAATTTTTTTTTAATTTTTTTTAGGTTTATGAGCTTGTTCTTAATTTCCTATTTCCCCTAAGTGCTTTTTCAGTTTTCAATGTGATGTTAAAAGTGCACCCATTATTATTATAATTATTATTATTATTAGTAGTAGTAGTAGTATTAATATTTATAAAATTATTATTAGTAATAGTATTAATTCTCTTTTGATAATGAACAATCAGACAATGATGATTCCAACTATTTCGAGTTCTCCTTTTTGGCATATTTCCTTGCCATTACTTTTTTCAGATCTTCTGGCATCTGGAGGGCATTCCACAGCTTATCTAAATGTCCTTGGGATTGCAGCATATTAAAAGCTTTGGTCTCCTCTGATGTCAGACTGTCCAACATTTCTGGAAGACACTTATTATCTTCCTGTGCAAAATCTTTGTATTAGTAGTAGTATTATTGTCATCATCTTAAAATTTTGTTTTTGAGATTCTATATGTTATTCCTACTTGGTTAAATGTTAATATATCCTTATTTTTTTGTTTGTTTCAAATTTACTCATTATGCCACAATAGTTAAACTAGTATCTTCATCTTTTTTTTTTTTTTTTTTTTTTTTGTTGCTATGTTTTGTCTTTGTTCATTCTCAGAGGCATAGTACATATGGTTTTGCGTTTTGCTTTTATTGTTTGTTTTTTTGTTTTTGCTTTTTTTTCTTTAGCTTTTCTTTGCTTCATTGATTTTTTCTATAATAGATGGTTTTAAATCGAAGCATCAAAGATTCCTGTAGATAATATCTTCATCATTTTGTCCATGTTGTTAAAACATCTTGATGATGCCATTCTACAGCCTTCTTCTGGTGCTCTCTCTCTCTCACTCACTCACTTTTTTATCCTTTGAAAAAGTGGTTATTATCATTCCAACCATTGTTTGGAGTGTTTATGAAAATCTGTGACAAAACAATAGATGAGAACAGTAGTTCAAATGACCCTTAAAACATTGATAAGTGCATGTCTTTGAATTTCAGATAACACAGGAGAGGCTGCATAACTTATGAATAATGAAACCTGAAATTAATTCTTGTAAAGGAGAGTTCAAGGTGGTCTCTAGGGAGACAACTTGGGTAAGAACATAACTGAATTACTCCTTTGAGCTACACAATCAGCTTTAAGTTAAATAATTGGAAAAATATGCTACTATTAAAAGTTAAAGTGTGAGAAATCCTAAACATCAAAATAACATATCACAAGTTTTTAACCCATTGGCTCTACCGAGGTACCACTGTGTGAACTACTCTTGCCTTGTTTGTGATTGACTAAAAATATCCTGGGGTGGCGACCATGAAACAGTCTTCTCTCTACTGCCAGTTATGGGTTAAATAGTAAGGTAGATCAGACTCTCTAGCCTTGACTGACAACTATTCTGAGTCCCAAATCATAGGCAAAAAAAGAAGCACTTTACTATCTTTTCCAATTCATAGTTGATAGGTTTGCTCTCCTTCTTGGTCTTTTAAACAGATATAGATATTTATCCTTCGTTTCTTGTTCCTTCTAAAGATTTTTCATTTTCTACTAACCCCTTGCGTTGTAGTGGCATTATTTCCTTGCTTCAGGTGAATTGATTTTTTAAAAAAAAAAGATTTCTGTGGAGAGTAAGGTTTGGTTGCAATACTCAGACAACCTGCCCCCCCACCCGCCAAATTAGTTTGTATAGTGATTATCAGTGCATGAAGTAGAATTGTAAAATGTTCAAATTCTAGTCTAGTTTGTTGCATTCACTTTCACACAAATGGGAAAGACATGAATGCATCCCTCCCTCGCTATGGATTAAATAGCAGGGTAGACTTGGCTCTTTAGTAACTAGTCTAAGAGAAAGCCAACTCAAAACACTTTTATCTTTCCTTTCATTTTCTCACTGAAACCAAGTAGTCACACCCTCTTTTCATCATTCATTTGCACAAGCTTATCAGATAGGGGGTTAACTCCCTTTAGACTTTGGCATGCCCTGTGAGTAATAATTTCTCCAAGGTCTCCTTTCTCATTATGTATCCAATAAATTTGGGTTGTGGTTTTGATTTTAAGTCTGTTTTTGTTTCCATTCTTCTGAAAATGTCTTTGTTTATAATATTCTCAGCATCTTTCTGTAAAACCACATCTCTGTTGATTCCAGTTTCCTCTTCATCTGTGAAGAAACACTCCAACATTCACTACTATGTATGGCAATATCACTAGTTGCATTAAAATCATGTTCTGTCTATGATATCCTCAGCATCCTTCTGTAGAACCACATTTCTGTTGACTCAAGTCTTTTCTTCATCTGTGAGAAAATTGTCCAGCATTCTTTGCCATAGAGAAAGATTCATATTACATAGTAGCACATCATTCTTTTCTTTGTTTCTAATGAAATTTTCCTGTTTCTTATTACATTGCTTAGCTTCTGGTATACACTTTTGCTATTTCAATATGTCTTTGGATTTTGGTGACACATTTTCTATCTACTATTAAAACATTTTCCAGATACATAAACTTGTTACTTGTTTGAATTTGACGTCTGCAATTCATACTTTGTATCAGATCACAATGCAGTCAAATAAACTGAAATCAATATTCACTAAATAATCATTTATTAATGTATTTTTTAAAATGATCTTTTTAATAAATTTAGTTTTAAATATATTTTAATACTAAAGATTTCACCATGTCTTCCCGCCTCAATCAATTACTACTCATTACCCAACTCACATTAACAACTAAAAATAGAAGAGGTATGTTAGGTTGTATAATTAAAGAAAATTAATGTTTTTGACACATTAACATTTATAAGGGTCTTGTACTGTCAAACTCAATATTAAAGTTAGATACTGAATATTTCTAAATTATAAAATTTTTCTGATGTTTTGCAAAATGTTCTAATGACAATTTTTGCTGAGATCATAAATTTTAAATTAGGTTTTTACTTAGGTTATATTTTTGGCTATTAAAAAAAAGCTTACTTCAGAAATGGAATTACCTTTAAATTATTGTAAAATATAGAAAGAGTGTATTGAGGTTGTGGGGAAACACCTGATTACTCTCCCAAGAACTACATGGTAACAGGCAGAGAAGGGAAAAAGATGGGAGGAAACTAAAACAACACTTTCCCAGAAATCACAGTGAGTGGCACCCAATAGACCGACTACACAAGACACTGAGTCTTGCCAACTGTCCACTGCTGACTGCTGGTTTTCCTGTTGCTTTTATTGACAGGAGACACTGAGAGAAACCCAGATCTAGACAAATTGCAAAGAGGCCCAAGATAAACTGTTCCACTGCCAATGGGGAAAAGCTGTCTGTAACTTATTTTGACAGACATGACTACATTTCAGAGATTCTTTTGTATGTGTACTGCTTTTTTCCTTCCCAAATTGATTCTTGGATGCACAAAAAGAAATGTCAAATTTTCCTAATTAACATGTAACTGACATGTATTTAATTCTTATAATAGGACATGAAGTGGGAAATTAGTTAAACTATTATTCAAGTACTAAACTGATCCCAAAATAGTTGCTACATTTTTCATTTATCAAATGGCTCCCCATTTAACTAATTAATGTCTTCAGTTCTTTTAGGATATCCTTGATGTAAAGGTTGAATAAGTCCATCGGGAAGATACATCTCTGTCTTAAGCCCTTCAATTAAATCATATTCTACCCATACTCAGCAAGTTTACTCCTATTATAGGTTTTGAATTATTCTAACATAGATCCAAAGTAAATCTAGTTTTCCTCGTGGTTCAAACTTCCCAAGTAGGCCTAGTTTTTCTCGTGGTTCAAACTTCCCAAGTAGGCCTAGTTTTCCTAGTGGTTCAAACTTCCCAAGTAGGCCTAGTTTTCCTAGCGGTTCAAACTTCCCAAACACATCTTGTTTTACTTGCCATTCAAATAACAATTCATCTTTTCCAAGTAGATGTTAATTATTTTGAGAAACTTTTGAACAGAATTGTTAAACTTACAGAAAAATTAAAAGTGAATCAACTATAAAAGTTAGCAAAATCACTACATAACAGAAGTAATACTAGATTTGCTTTCTAGCCTAGATAGTGACATGAAAACAGTGAAACCTCATGGAATGAATAAAAGGTTCAGTTTGAAATTCTGAAAAACTTAGTGAAAAGAGTAAGGATAGATACAGCTGTCAAAATGTTTTTAAGTTTCCTTGTAGCTGTGGACATCAGGAAATGCTTTGAATCATGTTTTTATTAATGAAGTTATTGTGTTGAGTGAATTGATATCTTTTGGATTTGTCTTTAAATTCTTTTTTTTTTTTTTTTTTTTTGGATTTGTTTATTGTTTTTTTTTAAAACTGTTTTTTCAGGTTTTTCACCTTCAGACTTAGGCAAAAGGTTTTTGATATCCTCTGTGCCCAACAAAGGTATGTAAAAAAAAAAAAAAAGATAAAAGGACAGTCTTATTTGTACCATATTTATTTGGAATTTCGAATTAAAATGAAATAAAAATTTTCAGTTTAGTACAATATAACTTGATCAAGAGTAAAGTACATTCAGACCTAACAGCCCCTCCTTAATGCTTATAGTGATGTCTGTAAAGACTTTTATATATATATATATATATATATATTTTCTCCATTGTGGTTTCTAGCCTTCATCAGGTGCTTCAAAGAATTTTGTAAGGTGCAAGGATCCACTGAAAGTTCAGTAGAAGGGAAAAATTCCTGAAGGAACTAGAAACAAAATCTTAAACGGGGAAACAGGGGATAAACTTCTACTCCTGTTCAAAAGACCAGGGAGGAGTGTGAACTGGACAACAGGCCAACCTAGCTACTCCTATTAAGGAAAAAATAAAAATGTAAATAAATAGTAAATAGAAGTTCAGAGTTTTAGGCAGAGATGTTAGAAGTATCATGTTGAAGGAACTAGAAACCCAGTTTGTTAATACTAATTTTACTGTGAAAATATCATAAAGTACATTTATTTACATTCAGACTATTGTCCAATTATCAAGCCATTATCCCTTAAATCCATGTTTGATACTGCTTAACTATAGGGATTGTACAAGAAACAGTGTTTCAATGTGATCTGGCTGTGTGTATGTAGAGAGAGTATCCATGTGAGAGTCTGTCCAACAAAGTAGCAGTTCTGGAGAAAAAATACTGTCTACGAGGAACTTCTTTTCTTTACATTTGGAATATGGAGGAAATGAACGTGATTCAACTCTTTGAGAATAATACAGCATGTCCTTATCGTAAAGGTCTGAATTAGTGGAACTAAAATATGGAGCTCATCTGAACATTTGCTATGAAAATAGTAAATCTTGGGCAATGTTTATTTTAAAGTGATGATTGGAATTGTAATAAAACCTCAACATACAAAAGTGAATTTATACATTTGGTCTTACGTTTGTCAAAACATTGGCTAATTGCCAATTGATTCGAAATTTATAAAATGGTAAATAATTTTCTTATTTGTCATTTTAATGATTTTGTAAATGTTTATAAATTTATGAATAAATTGTTTACATATTTCTTTATAAAATGATAAATATTTCATTGCATTAGTCTTAATACAATTGTATTAGTTTTTAGAATGTTCGAAATATAAAATTATTCTTGTAAATAAAGAATCTAATAAATAAATAATATATAATATTTTTATTTACATTATTCAGACTGTTATCCTCATCTTCGTTGCCATATTCACAATGTTTCAGCTGTTGTACACTCCGGCCTTCTTCAGGTAATACATGGCCCAGTGGTAAAGACATTGGTTAGACCCAGTGACTAGACCCAAAGAGTTCAATATCAGGCTACAGCAGTGGCAAAACAAAAACTTGGAAAGTTAAAGGGAAATAACTGAGACATCCAGAAGAAGCATGGCACATGGAATTAGAACAATCTACCCTGGTGGGTGAAATAAAGGGTTTGTTTCAAAATTCCAATCACCTGAAGACGGCTGAAGCATACAACAGCCGAAATATTGTGAACATGTCAATGAAGATGAGGATAACAGTTCGAATCGTGTAAATAATCATAATACCTCATTTCAGAAATATAGGCAAATATAATATTTTTGTTGTAAATTCTCAAGAACAAAAAAGAGTTTAAATTTACTTTTGCAAATGTTTAGGTTTCATTCCAATTCTAATCATCACTTTTAAAACAAAAAAAAACATTGCCAATGAGTGAAGAGAATAAAAATAATATCAGTGTCAATAGAAAATCTGTCCTTTTAACAATAGGTTTTTTTTTTTTTTTGTGGGGACAAATGTCCATGTTTGCTAATCAAATATTATACAATGAATAGTTCTGATAAAAAGTTAATTAAGATGCTAAGCTATGAGCTTATCGATCCACCTTGTATTAACTAAATTTTCAATCTTTTCAGCACGTCATGGACATTACTAGAGATGACAAAGTTGAAGCCTTACAAAATGAAAACAAAACACTCAAAGGAAAGCTAAGAGGATATCAGACATTAGGTAAGTAAATACATGTATAGATGTGTGTCTATACATATATATATGTATAGATGTGTGTCTATATACATATGTAGGTATATCAACAATTTTGCAAACTAAATCATTTATTTAACATAATGAATATGTATTTTTCCTCACATTAGCTTTTCTGCAGGTGAAGAGGGTAGTATGTCATCCCACAGGATAAAAAAGCAAGACCTGTCAAAGAGTGGATGAGCTTCTTATAGGAGCCAACACACACACAAACATATATATATATCTATGTCAGTCAGTTTTGTGCTATGTGTGACAAGGCAGATTTCGTTTCCTGCAGTAGGTTGCCATTTCTTTCTGTGGTAGACTAGTTGCCATCCAAGGCTATAGAACCCAGTCTGTCCTGCTATTTACCCATAGCTGGGGGGAGAAGTGGATTCATACCTTTCCCAAGGGTATTAGCACATAGGTGAATGTAATGGTTTTGACTGGAATTTGAACTCGAAAGATTGATTATGATTCCAACAAGAATTTAACCTGTATCCTCTTTTCCATCAGAAAAACCACTTCTATAGCTGAAACGTGTCATTATTGATTTGACCAGAGGCCACATTGCTAGAGAAAGATTTGAATTACCTACTTAACAGCATGTCTCAGTTGTTGAAGCAGTTTTCCTGATGGAAAAGTGGGTACAGTTTCAATTCCTGTAGGAATCAATGTTTTTTTTTTCTTGCTGATTTTTTGTTCTGTTACATCAACTGCAAATTTACTTGGCTCATATTGGGTGTAAAGGACCAAAAGGTCAGTTCACTATACCTGCATCCTCTTCACTAACTTTTATTTTGTGTTTTTTTTATATGTTCGTTTTTTTTGGGTTTTTTTTTTTTTTTTTTTTTGCATTTCTGTTTCACTCCATTACCTTCACTTACTTTATAGGCCAGCTGTTTCAAGAAGTCAAAGAACGGAACAGAATTCTCGAACTGGAACTTCAAAAAAAGCAGATGATTTCCATTGCAACAGAAATGGAAACAAAACCCGAAACAACTGGACCTGTAAGTTTGGCAAAGTTTAACATAAAGAGGTCTGATTAAAAAGTATCAGGACTGTTGCTATGGTGACAGAGCTAAAGTACACTGTGAAGCCACTTGGCACAGATAGACCATGAACTCTGTTGTGCATGCACAACAAAGTTATAACTGTTTGGCTCTTTTCCATGGTTTATAGCATTGCTTTGAAGGAAAGTGCGTAGAGTGTGGTCATCTTGCCACACAGGTTCCATCAGTGACCATTGCAACATTCATTCCCCAGATCTTGCCCCCTAAAACTTTTTCCTCTTCAAAAATTAAAAACAAGATTTCAAGACATTGAGGAAATCCAAGAGAATGCAATGAGGTTGCTGCTCACTATACCTAAAAAGGAGTTGCAGGAATGCTTCCACAATGGAAACAACAATGGATGAAGTGTGTGGCTTCAGTAGGGGACTATTTTGAAGGAGATTAAATGCTGAATTGATATGTGTTGTAGTTTTCTTTTTATAGCACTAGTCTCAATACTTTTTGATCAGCCCTTGTACATACACAAAAAAATGGTGTATAAAAAGGATGTTTATTTACTTTTCACTGTTATTACGGTATACCGTTTTGACTCCCTCAGTAATTTTTGTTGTTTTAGAATTTTAATAAAGTCCAAACATATGAAACTGTATTTATGCATTCTCTTTTTTCTTGGGGGAATTAACAACAAAAGTATTAAACACTATACTTGTAAATAAAGAGCTTAATAAATACATAGTGTTTAACATTTTTGCTGTCATTTCTCATTTTTGCTAAAATAGCTGATTAGCAACCTTTTTTTTAATCATCTTTCATTGCAATATAATTCTCTTTATATAAAAAAATCTTCCAGAAATAAAAATACTTTTCTGAAACTTTATTTGAGGAATATTAGCTGATTTAAAATATAATTAATCTGATCTGAAACAAATATTATTTACTCTAAGTTTAAAATATTGCAGAAATGCATTTTTTTAACCCAAGAGTAGCTCTGTCTTTAACCATTAAGATGTGTTTGACATGATGACACATCTAATATTTTTCTGCAGAGACTTTATCTGTAAAACACCTGAAGAAAATAATGAGAGCACCTTTTTTATTTAATTTTTAAATAGTAATCTTAAAATATTATCTGTAATCTAATGTTTTATTGAATTTTTGGCTTTAAATTTACTATAGTCATTGCTTTTATTTTCTGACTAGCAGTAGAGCCCGGCGTTGCCTGGGGATGTAACAGTAAGAGATAGATGAAGTATCGACCATCATAAAGACTGAAAAATAAAATTGACAAAGATTATTGTTTAAGGTTGACGGACATGCATGTCTTAATTTTTTTTTAATTTTTTTTTTTTTACGAATTGGTCAAACTCAAACAAAAACATTGTTTTCAATCGTTATGAGTCTACCAATTGAATAGAATTTTATTATAAACAATTGTCTTGTAAATGGAATTTTAAAGCATTCTGAATGTAAAATAAAAAAAAAGTGTGCAAGACAATAAGAAACACTACCTGCCAAAAAAAATTATTTTAAAAATATTGGTGTTTGATGATTTGTATTAAGCTTTTCCATTTATGATTATTAAATATATTTTTCACTTAATAATATCAAAACAGTATAAGAGTACTTTTAAATGTAAATGATAAGTGGTTAGCGTAAATCATTTCTGAGATTCTGAGTAATTCATCTTTTTACTAATGTTTTCTATGAATCCTAGTCTTTGGTTTGATGAAATATCTTCACTTCTTCATAGATAAAAGATTCTTTTTTCTTTTTTTTCTTTTTTTTTTTGTCTATCCCATCATGATCTACCTGTTTTGGGCTTTTGCAGCAATTGCCTAAGGATACATGTTCATCAATGTCTGAAAAAAACAAGGCCATTACTTCGGAAGATGATGAAGACACTAACAGCGTCAAAAATTTAAGCTTAGAATCATCATCGGAAAAAATCCATATGGTAAGGAATTTGATTTGTGCTTTTGTAACCATTTTCAATTTAATCTCATTATCATCATAGTCATGTTTATTTTTTTGTTTTGTTGAGGCACACTGGGGTTAATCTTACACAAAGTAGGGTGTGTCCTGCCTGACTAATAATCTCAGTTTACCTCTCCACATATGCCTGTCTCTAGCACCAGTTCTAGGCCCAGTTTTTCCCTGTCCTCTTGCAGAACATCATCTTGAGCTGACCTGTTCTTCTGTTTTCTCCAACCATCACCTCCTCATGGACCTGTTTGAAAGGCTGTTCACTGCACTCAACATAACCAGCCCAGCATAGTCTGCCAACTGTGCAGTTGTGACACAAGGTCGAACTTCTTGAAGAATTGACCTTACCTTGTTTTCAGCAGACACATCACACATCCAGCGTATCGTAGCCATGGTCCTTTTGAGGCATTTGATGTCTGTCATCAACTGGATCCATGTCTTGTAGGCATGCAGCATAGTGCTATGAACACAGGTGTCGTACACCTGATCTCTCATCTTAACTGGGAGACAGCAAGCTGTGAAGATAGACAGCAGCTGATAGTTTCTTTCCTGTGACCTCTAATGTTGAATTTAATTTTGGACTCTTGCTGTAATTATTGTGTTTTTTTTTTTTTAATGAAAGTAAAGTCTTTGTATCCTTCAATACCAGATCACTCAATACTTGCCTCCACAGCAAACTAGAGACCTTTTTTTTTTTCTTTTTTTTTTACAGTGACATTCACCCTGTACAAGGCCCAGGGACCACTCTAGGTAGAGGGTTATGTTAAGGGGTACTTTATATGAATAGGATGGAAAGATAATGGATAACATTAGACTTGAACAGGTTAAGATTGCAGTGATCGGGAAAGCATCCTCTTGGGAGTCTGTTCCACAAGACAGTAGGAAGAAGCTGTTTGAGTGGAACTTCTTATCAATGGAATACAGAGGGAATGTGGATGGTTGGCTACAATGTGGGTGGCATGGCTGGTCCTGGTTGTGAATATTTTAACTGTTGTATACAAGGAATGCAGTTCATCTAAGCACTTTCCATGGAAGTAGCAATAGAGCACTGAGAGCCTTGCCACACCCACCTGGAAGGTGGAAAATAATTTGTTACCTACAAGAACTCTGAAACACTTTTGAACTCTATCGACACTGAAAAGTGAGGATTGGGCAGCTCCTGCCCAAATATGGCAGCAGTTCTCCATTTTAGGCTTGATCTGTCTCTTGTAAAAGATAGAATGAGGAGACAGGTACTTACTGGAGCAGTACAGGGAACCAACCATTTTTCCTGCATCTTTAGTGATGGATTATATGCATAAATTCCACTTGACTTCTAGGGTGAGTTTAAGGTCCAATAGTCTCTCAAGGCATGGAGCCTCCCTGTGGGGGCATCCAATCCTCAAGACTGGTGGTAGTTTGGAATCCTACTAGGGTTTATTATTAACAATATAAGATATGTAGATGACACCGTGTTAATGGCAGACAAAAAAGGAAAACTACAGTACTACAAGTCAATAGAAGAAAATAAAAATATAAAGTCCCACTGCCCTCAGAAAACACCACTGCTTTTGAAAAGACACAGCAATGCCAGGTTAAAATTCATTCATGAACATAAGGATAAGGAAAAATCGTATTGGGAAAGAGTATTATGAACAGACAAAGCCAATAGTGAATTGTTTGGACATAATTTTAGAAATCATGTATGGAGGAAAGATGGTGATGCCTTCAAAGGAACACAGTTCCAACAGTGAAATTTGATGATGACAGCATCATGGTTTGGGGATGTTTTTCTGTAAAAGGTACTGGCAACATATCAATAATAGCTGGTAGAATGAATGCTGCAGCCTATCAAAATATTTTGGAAGCAAATTTAATGATTTTGGTTGAAAATCTTGAACTTCCTCCAACAAGATAATGACTCCACTGTAAAATCTATGAAGAAACGGCTTGCTGAAAATAATGTAAATATCCTGAAATGGTCAAGTCAGTCCCCAGATTTAAACCCAATCAAGAATCTGTGGAGTTATTTGAAAATTCAAATCCAATCGAGAGCTCCAACAAACATCCCAGATCTGAAGACTATATGCGAAGAAGAATCGAACAAAATAGCAACTAAAATTGGCAAATCATTGAGAAATACAAGAAGAGGTTGGTTGCTGTAGAAGGGAATAATGGCGATTCTACTAAATATTAAATGAAGATTATGTATTCATTTTTGTATTGTACAAATACTTTTTCACCCATTAAAATGGATAAATGGGATTTATTTCTATTAAACCAAAATCTTTTCTGTTTTCTATACATATTTAGTTATTATGCATCTGTGTACAGTTAATTATATGAAAAGTATGTTTATTCATTAGTTGGAAATACAATAAATTAAAAATTTGTATGTGTACGAATATTTGTCTCCCCACCCACTGTACATATATGCTTTTTTTTTTTTTTTTTTAGTCTAATGCTTATTCTCTCCCTACTGAAAATCCTGAAATCTCTGAATCAAATTTGCTCTTAACAAAAAAACTCGAAGATGCTCTGCGTTTAGTTGATGAATATGGCCGAAAACGATCCAATGATAAGGTAAGTTAAGATTTTGTATTCTCTATATGAGCCTGACTCCTTGTATGCCATTTATTACAGAAGGATATTGAGGATACCATGGACAGAAGATGTGAGCAACAATGAAAATGGAAACAAAAAGAAACTTCAGTATTAGTTGATAAAAATGTTGGAAATCCAGTGACTTGACCCAGAGTTGTGAGTGCATGGCTTACAGCAGAGGTGAACAAAAACCTGGTGAGTTGAGTTAAAGGAAAATAACTGATATTGAGATATCCAGGAGAGGCATGGCATGTGGAACTAGAACAATCTACCCCAGTGGATGAAATAAAGTATTCAGTTTGAAATTCCAATCACCTGAAACATTGTGACCATGACAACAAAAATGAGGATAACAGTCTGAACATTGTAAATAGTGTAAAAAGGAAACTTATACTCAACATCAGAATTGGTTTTGTTTATTTTGTTTTATAGCATATCAACCTCAATGGCTCATTTAATGCCAGAATAGATTTGTATGAATAGAATATTTATTTGTATGAGATCAGTTTTCATTGACATATTTTTGTAAAGAGGGTCTGTAGAGAGTCTGGTTTCATTGATGTATTCTTTTCAGATATACACTTTGTAGAGATGGTTTTATTGACATAAAATGTATTGTTGGTTATTTTACTATAAATAGGTATTGTTGGTAACTATATAAAAATGTATTGCTGGTATTTTTACTATAAAAATACATTTTTATACTTTCATAGTAGTTTTTTGAGTTCACTATTTGCCCATAGGTGGAACACAAACAAGTTCTGCCACCATGGGTCAGGTAGACCTAGGAATGACAGCAATTAAGAGGTGGTTCCATGCTCCTGAAAACATCCAATCTTCTAATCAAGGGCCTTGCTGCCAGATGGTGTTTATAGTCATACCCAGGATTTTAACATCAGAAAGAGACAGGTGAAATTTCTCGCGCATGTGATGAGGAAAGATGACTTGGAAAATCTAATACTCACAAGACAGATTTAAGACAAGACAGACAGAGGAAAACAATCTATAACAAACTTAGTGAGCTTGAGTAAATGGATAGCGGAACAGGGTTTGGGAGAAATAACAAAAGGACAAGAAACTGTGGAGAGCCATGATTGCTTACATCCTGAGGGTACACAGCACTTGGAGAAGAAGAATTGTCTACATGGAAATATGAACAGTACTCATGCTTAATCTAATCTCTAATTGCTGTTTGAGAAATCGTTGTTAGATTCAACATGTTTTTAGCCAACTTTTCCGCAAAGAGTGTTACTAATCAAGCAAAGCTGAATATTGTCTTTTTAAGCTGAATCCTTCTCATTCTAGATTACCAAAAGCTTGTACCTGCTCAGTTTCATATTTGAAATGTAAACAAAGCAATTCTTAAGACTTAATTTATTTTTTTTGTTATTTATTAATCTGACAGATTTTTAATATATTAATTTTGGTGAATACCCATATTTGATTAGATGCCCTGTTTATATTTTAAACAGAATATTTAATATTTGAATATTCTTATTAAAGAAAAAGATGCTCCCTCTAGCAGGATTCAAACCTGTGCCCTGATTTTATATATATATATATATATATATATATATATATATATATCTTTGAATTCAGAACGGCACAAAATATACTTTGGTTGAAAATATTAAATGCATGTGAAACATATTTAATCAAAGAAAATCAAATAACAGAAAAGTAAAAATACCAGAATTTCTTCTTTTTCTCCATGTTTCATTCTCTGATGATGCTTTAATAGAAGTGAAACATGTTAGATTGATAAACATTTCCTATTTATTCTTTATCTTATTATTCCTTCAGATTCTGATCCATATTTGATATATATTTGAGATATATATATATATATACATACACACACACACACAGGGTGATTGAAAAGTAACTCCCTATTTTATGTATGATAAAATCTCCCTTCTTGTAAAACTTATAGTTATGCATAAAATAGGCTGTTACTTTTCAATCATATATATATATATTATAATATTTTGCTCTACTTTGTATTGAGCACATTTTAAAAATTAAATGTTATGAACTGTGGATTTTTACTACATTTGTTCTTTCTCTTATTTGGATATATATATATATATACACACACACACACACACATATACTGGACTGGACTCTATTGTCATTTTTGATGTATAAGGATCAAGCAGCTGAGTTCTTAGAACCAAAAGCCAGACAACCCATACATATCATTTGATTCTAATGGTGAATGCTTGTGCAGAACCAACCACACAGCTGAATGCAGAGAAGTGGTGCACAGTATGCCACAAGGTCCCCAAATGACCCTCCACAGGTTTTGAATTCAGAGTTGTCTTTCTCCTAGACCATTCATCACCCAAGGCTATATGTCCCAGTCTGTCCTGCTATTGTACCCATAGCCAGGGGGAGAAGAGATGGATTCATACCTTTTCCAAGAGTATTAGCACATGTGAATGTAATTGAACTTGGCTCTCCAATTCCCCAATCTGAACTGTAATCCATTACTCCACCGTGCCTCCTATATATAACTAGTTTTATGAAATTTTGACTGCTTGATCAATTTATTCAAGGGACCTGGTGTTTCATTTCATTTTCTGTTATTTTTTCATTCTTTGAGGAATCTATTTAGTTCTAATTTTGTGTGTATGATCTTCAGATATTGTCTATATTTAATCATTAGAATCTCTCTGAACATTCATAAATAAATTTATTGTTCATTTTACAGAAACTGGTGAAAATTCTCAATGAAGAAGTGAAAAAGGCAAAAGACGAATTACATTCAGTCATGGACAAATTGGGAAATGCTGAGTAAGTTGTGTTTTTTTTAATTTAAAAAAGAACCTCCTCCACTTCTCCACATCAAAAATAAAATACGAAAAGTTCTTGTTAAGAATAGCGAGAGATAATTATTACCCTAACTTATAAAGCAAAATGAAACAATATTTTTAATATATTTTTTTTTAAAATTATACAGGCTCTGCGTTTAAAAAAAAAATAAAAATTGAAGAGAAATTAGCAACAAGTGCATTGTGGATCATTAACATCTACCAGTGTAGCTTTATTCAAGATTACAGGCCAATTAATCCCTTCCCAAATTGAACTACTAGAAGAAAAGAATCATTTACACTATTTATATCATTCGAACTGTTGTGCTCACCTTTATTGCCATATTCACAACATTTCAGCTGTTGTACACTCCGGCCTTCTTCAGGTGACATATATTGAAATCAGATAGGTCTGATAGAAAAGGATTAAAAAACACTAATTAGCAATAGTAAAGGAAGAAGAAAAAAACAGCTTTGCGTAATTTCTTAGATTAAATATTTTCAATATTATATTTGGAGTAGTTTTTATATCTATATATATATATATATCTTATTTTTATTCCCAGGTTTAAATGTAGTAGTAGTAGATGTAATATTAGGCTGTTTGAGAAATAATGTCCAATTTTAGAATAAACTTTGAATTGTGTTCCAGTATATTATTGTAATAATTGCACAAAAATATATGACTCATTCCTAATGATTAAAGTGTCCTCTTTGTTAATTTTATATCAATCTCTTTCAGAATGTTGTTCTCAAATATGTGACGCATCTCGCAAAATAGTATCAGGTTGTTCAGAAAATAATGTACAATTTTAGAATAAATCTTTTAATTGTGTTCTTATATATTATTATAATAGTTGCACAAAAAATGTATTACTTATTCCAAATGTTTAAAGTTTCCTCTATGTGAATGTTATATCAATCTCCTTTCAAAATTAACTTACAACACTTATGGGCAAATAGTTAGACGCCAAACTGGGGTAAAAACACCATGAAAGTGTAAAAATAAGTTTTAATACCAGGAAAAAAAAAAAATTATTACCAGCAATAAATTTTTGAGGAAAAAGTTATTACCAGCAATACATTTTTGAAAAAAACAAAAGAATTACCAACAATACATTTTTGAAAAAAAAATATTACCAGCAATAAAAATTTTCGGCATTAAATAACCCATTGAGGTTGATAGTCTATAAAACAAACCAAACTAATTAACATCTGAAACCACTAATTAAACTAAGCCTACATCAAAGTGTCAGAGAAATGTCTCAGATAATGGGTGTCAGCATTTCAACAATATCAGACCATCTCCAAGAAAATTGTCAAAGTGAAGAAACTCAATAAATGGGTTACATATGAACTCAAAGAAAGTCAAAGAGTCCAATGTTTTCAAGTGTGCTTGATGCAGTGTCTGTGAAATTCAAATGATCCATTTCTTGATCAAATAGCGATTTCTCTTTCTTTTTTTTTTCTTCCTTCCTTCCTTTTTCCTTTCTTTCCTTCTTTTAGGATGAGAAACTCTTAGTGATTTTCAACTTTATTTTGTTTTAAAAAAAAAATTAACAACCTGTTTGTAAATAAGAAAAAATTAAATCATATTTAATGAATATTTCTAATAATGCTGCCACATACCTACATTTTTAACAAATTAAAAGGCACAACTCTAAAGATGTTGAAAATTTTTTGCAGATTTTGATGTCATTCTGGGTGTAAACTTCACCCCTCCTCCAACCAGTAAAAATTTGTTTTAATACCATATAAGATGGCGCACTATAAAATTTACTATTTTTACCCATAATTTGTTGGTCCAACCAACTTAAGTTGATGCTAAAAATTATTGATTATTTAAAATGGAATGTTCTATTATGAATATTTATATTTAGATACATTGTATTTATTTTATATTTTTCTAGTTGAATTGTCAATGGATCATTAGATGACAATAAAATTGGTATTATATGAATAGTCACCTTATAAACTAAAATTTTTTTTTTGATAGATTTGGGGGTGGAAATTTATTTACTAGTTACATGTAGATGATAGAAAATAAAGGAAAATTAGTCATGATCACTGTTGAACTGGGTGAAATCCAGTTGGTAACATCCTCCAACAAATAGAGACTACCATCTTAGGAGATTGGCAATAACCAGTCAAGAACTTGTAGACAGGAAAAAAGTTAGTGGGATGGATCAATCATCTCAGGACGGAAATGCCAGGTTCCATTTTGCATGTTTCTAGCCTGCCAACACCAATGAATGACAAAAAAAAAAAAAAAAACTCAAGAGAACTTTTTTTGCCTAAAGACTTTGCCAAACATCCAGATGATATTCCTCTAACGATTCAATCATACATCCAACTATTGCTGGCAAGTGACTTACAAGAACTACTTTTTGAAGCATTTTGACAATTTTTTTTAAGCCAAAAGACATTTTGTTGCAAAAAAAGATGCATTCAAAAATTTCTTGGCATCCAAACCTTTAGTTATGACTTAAATAAGCTTGCAACTCAAAGGCAGAAATGTATAGATGTTCAGGGTTTCTATTTTGACTGATTTAAATACTAATTAATTGCTTCTATTCTGGAATAAAAATTGATTCTAAAATTGCACATTACTTTCCAAACAACCTAATTGTTTTATGTTGTCTCAATTTCTTAGATGAAACATTTTTATTATCCATTTTACAGTTTTTCTTTCTGCACATAACCAAGTTCCTTATATGATGCAATGTTAAGCAACATCAAGCCTGGTCAGTACCAGACAGGTAACTGACCAAATACCTTTGGTTAACTTGGATGGTACAGGAATTGGTGTAATGGACTGTGCTTGGGATTATAAATCAAAAGAGAGAGTTCCAATTCCTGTTGATTTTTGTTATATTGAACAAATGCACAGGTCACATTTGGGAATGAGTTTGAATCCACCTCTTCTCACCCCAGCTATGGGTTAATTAGTAAGACTTGTATCACTAAACCATTATCATCTCCAAAAATAATTATTTCAATCTAAAAATATTTTCTGGCTTTAAATAACCAGCAAAATGGTTGGTAACCCATAGAAAATGAATGACTCACTCAATTTTCTTCATATTTTTATTGTTTATTTACAGTGTTACTGGGCCTGTTCTTTGGTGGTGAGGGCTTAAATATGTGTTTCTTTTCTCAAATTTTTTAAAAAAATTTGTATTTCATGTTTTCATATTTTCATGTTTTACATTTCCAATTTATACAGGCAAGAAAACAAGTTAATGATGAAGAAAATTGCAAGACTTGAAAAAGAACGAGATAGCATCCCATTAGATATTGCTGCCATTAACACAGAGGTTGCCGAAGCAGAAGACTGGGTGCATCTTCATCAAGAAACACCACCTGTGAGTCCTGCCAGAGTTTAAGCATGGATTTATAAATCACAATCTATATTTTCAGAAAAATTATTTTAATTCAAAATTCATTTTTTAATATTCTGACGAATCCTAATTTTTAAGTTAATCTTTTTCTTTCCTTCTTTCTTTTCTCACTAAACAAGTAGTGTCTTTTCTTCTCTTTCCATTGCTTCAAAAATGAATAGTCCATTATTTATGAAGGCTTTTTTGGATGTTAAAACTTCACATGTATATTTTGATATATAATTGGTGACTCAATAAATTTTCAGGTTGCACAAAGATAATAAGTGATGGTCAACATATGATATTTATTTTATTCCAACAAAATCTTTCAATGTTACACTGAATTTTATTTTTTTACTCAGACTGGATCCCAAATTGTTTTAATTCTGTCCCCTCAAAATATTGTTGGAAAAAAATTTCATTAATATTGTTCATAATAACTCTGCTAAACAAATCAAAACTGGGGAAAAAAAAGAATGAAATAAAATTAACATGGTTAGTCAGGCTATGGAATCTGAGATGGAACATTTGACAGGCAATGTATTTTTTGCTTTTATTTTATAAATAATCTTTTAAAATCTGCACATCTTAAATGTCCTGTTTTTCAAAATAACGCAGAGCCAAATTTCAATTTATTGTTTTAAAATGTGTAATCAAAATAGATTTTTCTTATATGTCTGGAAACCTTTTGAAAATATCGGTTTATTTTATAGATCCCATGTATACTCTACAATTAATATTAAAATACCAAAATGTTTTTTTTTAACACAGGAATTTTAAAAATTATATATTTTAGTTGATACTTAAAGGAATCATTTAGCATCTGAGTTAACCAAAAGTAAAATTTGTTAAAAGATTATGAATAGACTGTTCCAAAATTGGTAAAATAAGTTTTTCTTTGTCATCTGTTTCTATATAATATATAAGTCTATATATATATATAAATGAAAATATATATATATATATATATAAATATATAGAAATTTGTATTTTTTTTATATATATTATATAGTGTTTTATATATATATAGTAAATATATATATATTTATATATTTATATATATTATTGTAGTATAAAAATATATATGATATTAAATATACCAATATATAAAGACATATATATATATATAAAACTGAATTTGAAGAATATAGAGCCATAAATATATTTATATATATTATATATATAAAAAAAAAAAAAAAAAGAATAAAGAAACACACAAAGAAAGGCAGGTAAATATTATAGTAATAATTACCTATATATATATAAGATCCACAATGGTCTGTGGATTGGGATAAACTATAGGGGCAAGTATTTGGATTATATTATACCGCACATATCCAGGGTTCTCCATATATATGAAGTATGACATCTAGACGAGAAGAAAAATTAGGTTTAAGATGGAGACTTTTTTTTTTTTAATATTATGGAAATATTATTTGATCAATATGTTCTCATATATATATATTATTATATATAATGTGATATATATATTATATATATGAGGTTAAATTAGAGATGTATGTTGTTATATATCTTGTAAATCTAACATGGTTAATAGTTTTGTTATTTTGAAATTTAATTTACTTCTTTTTTTATGAAATTTTTATTGTAGGTTGATGACAAAATGTATGAACTCCAAAAGAAATGTGAAGAGGTATATATGTTGCTCTATCTACTAACTCTATCACAACTACTATTGAAAAGAATTTATCTAAACTTAACATAAAATTTGTCACAACTACGTCTAAACAAATTAAGACTCGTTGCGGGTGGTATATTGGCTCGCAAACAGATATTGAATGATGGAAGACAACAAACAAAATGAAGACTTGAGTAAAAAAAAAAAAAATATATTGCAAAGTTTATTTTCACTAAAAAAATTATGTCAAAATACATAGTCTTCATTGTTTTTTTTTCCATCATTCTAAAAGTTGTTGATGCCATTGTCTTTGTGTTTTTGTTGGAAGGTTAACTGTACAATTTTTTTGTTATTTATTGTTTAGTGATTAGTTACTTCAATAATTAAATGTATAAGGTTTCTTATGGGAACATTTTACAGCACATGGAATAATGGTGGTGTAAAGATTACATGTACAAAATAACTGACAAATTGATTTGCAATGCAAAGATGACATTTTAAAAAAAATTAACAAAAGGAAAGTTTAAAACAAGAGTTTCTTTTGTTAGATGCAAATTTTATACACATCAAAATGTTCATTATAGTGGGAACTTACTTTGTTGGAGTGTTTTAGTATGAAGCATTCGCAGCCCTTGTGGCCTCAACATGAAAAGTTCATGTCAGTAGTTGAAAAGGGAAAATTTAGGGTTTACATGTTTTTATATTCGAGAGCTGCTACTCATACAAAGTTTATTTAGAGCTGCTACTGCTAAAGTGCTGCTACTGATATTTAATATACCAGTAACACTACAACTGTATATACTCATGTATAAGCTTACTTCATGTATAGTGCAACCCTTGAATTTTTTATGCATGAATTTTAATCCCTGCAAAAATAATTTACCTGTATATAGTGCAATTGGTCACTTAAAATGCCTGATTTTTAACCTCTTCAAAAAAAAATGCATGTGTATATCATATAGCTATACTTGAGTATATACAGTAAATTGTTCTGTAGTGACCAGAACAAATAAAATTCTGAAGGAGCCAAGTCTGGAGAATATGGTGGATGATAGAGGGCGGGTTCCCATTTCTATTCTTTAACCTTCTGCCAGCAATAAATTTTTAAAGAAAAAAATTATTACCAGCAATAAATTTTTTTTGAAAGAAAAATTATTACTAGCAACACATTTTTGAAAAAAAAAATATCACCAATAAAAATTTTGTTGGCATTAAATAACTCATTGAAGTTGATACACTGTACAACAAACCAAACCAAACCAAAGTCTAATTTGTAACTGAACAATGCAAGATTTCAATTTAGAACACACCAGAAATCGGCACCAAAACAGATGCCAGTGTCAAGTTGTAATTATTTTATATTAACAATTAAAATTATGCACAAACTTTTGCAATGATCTAATATAATTATTTTTAGTGATCCAAATTTCTGTATTATTTTCATTGTTAATTTTTTCTTTTTTTTGTATTTTTTCTGTTTTATCAGATTTCTCAGATAATGACTTTTTTTTTTTTTTTTTTTCACTAGCTTAAACACAAAGCAACAAGGTGGGAAAACGAGCATTTTAATCTTCAGATTGAATATACCAAACATGTCAATGATCTTCGAGGCCTTCTGGAATGCAAGAGCAAAGAACTTATCAAAGTTACCGAAAATCTCACCACTGAAAAAAAGATACTGGAATCGAAATTTAAAAAACTAGAAAACATGCTAAAAGAGGAAAAAGTAAGAAATGTTCTTTTTTTTTCCTCAGACAATTCAATGAATTCTTAAAAAATTGCCACTAAATTTGTTTACCTTTTATTATAAAGTTGCTGCAATTTAAATTGCTTTCTAAATTGAAGTTACTGCATTTAATGTTGTTTCCTACTGAGCTTACTATTGTTTGCTACTATTTGCTGTTGCATTTGCTAATATTGGCTTCTGTGTTTGCTGTTGCATTTGCTAATAATATTGGCTTCTGTGTTTGCTGTTGCATTTGCTAATAATATTGGCTTCTGTGTTTGCTGTTGCATTTGCTAATAATATTGGCTTCTGTGTTTGCTGTTGCATTTGCTAATAATATTGGCTTCTGTGTTTGCTGTTGCATTTGCTAATGTTTGCTGCTAAGTTTGCTACTGTTTCCTATTGCATTTGCTAATTTTTCCTGGTGTGTCTGCTGTTGCATGCACTACTGTTTGTTCTATTTGCTGCTGTGTTTGATGTTGCATTTGATAATATTGACTGGTGTTTTTGATTATGCATTTGTTAATGTTTGTTGTTGTATTTGATGCTGCATTTGCTAATGTTGTTCAACCATCTTTCATCTGTTGCTATTATGCAAATGCATGAAAATAATAATAACTAGTTTTAACCCTGTGAAAATTTCATGGTTTTCCTATTTTAATATTTTCCATTCTTCAGTTAATGATTCAATAAACTCATGGCGAGTTCTATGACAATAAAATATCTGTAAAAATTTCTGTCACATCATTAAATATTTCAGCTCAACAAATTTAACAAAATATTCCAATAATAATCATAAATATGAATGCTGATTGTTATTTTAAGAAGTGGGTACAAATGAAAAAAATTTAAAATTGACAACTTTTTTCTATTTCACTGAAACAGCCATTAAACATTTCTATCATCCATTCTTTTTTCATTCATCAAATAGTGTCTTTTCCATGCAATCAAAATGGAATAGTCCATTATTTTATGAGTAATTGGCAGGGCATAACAGTTGTGCAAACTAAATAAGGAATTAATGAAGGGAGAAACAAGTAGAATTATTATATTCAGGTTGGATAACCTGTTCCATTCAGACAGTCTATGATTGAATGTATTGGCAGGGTGAAGCAGTCATGTGAAATAATGGAGGGAGGGTAACACAATAGGATGATAACCAAAAATAAAAACTAAAATCATGAATTTTATATTTCAATACTTGCATCTGGAATTGTTTCAGATTTTGTTGTGCAATGTTAAAGTGGATTAAACCTCTTGACAAATAATCTTAAGAATTAATTTCTGAGTTTATCTCCCAAGTTAGAAGTTGTTGCATGTTTTGTGGGTTATCCCACTTGACTTTCCTAAAAAGCTAGAGGGACACTCCTTAAGTCTATAAATAGGAGATTATATTCTCACGCATTCTCTTTCCTCTTTTACAATTCTGGCTATCAGATGTAGTCACATGTGGGAAAAAAAGTGTCCCCCATTGGGGTATGTTCATTTTCACTGTCTTACTTTTTTCATGACTTTTTGTACTCTTTCACATGTGTGTCTATCACATAGGCCTACACAAACTTCACAAACACACATTCTCTAGTTTAGATTTTTCTATGTAATTAGTCTTTAAATGTATTCTTGGTTTATTGTAATTGGCTCTTCAAAGATAAAGAAGAGACTTGAGGCAACAGAGGATTGGTTCTACAGAAGCATGCTAAGTATACCATGACTCAAACATGTGAGCAACAGTGAGGTTTTGGGAGGATGCAAACAAAGAGAAACTTATATTTAACATCAGGAAAAGGGCAGATGAAATTTCTGGGACACATAATGAAAAGAAGGGCATGAAAAATCTGATACTCTGGGGGGCGGATATAGGAAAGAGGGACAAGAGAAAGCAATGTAGGACATGCTTAACAGGTTTAAGCAAGTGGGTGAAGAGTAGGGCCTGTGAGAAATAACAAAAAAGTCAAAAGCTTATTGAGAGTTACAAGGGACAGGAGAAATGGAGAGCCATGATCGCCTACTTCCTGAAGGATATAAAGAAGAAGAATACTTTGTTGATATATGCATTGTCATTTTTTGTTTTATATTGTTTTGTGTTACTCGTTTATTACTTGAACTTACATTCGAGTCTGTAATAATTGTTATGAGAAAAACAGTACCAGGAGACATGTGTTTTCTACATAAACACAACAAGTATTCCTGTTATAAATTTAATAATGTGATATACAATATAACATTATTAATTCCTTTATATACAAATGTTTTCTTCTTTCATATTCATTGTTTTGTCACACACAACACTCTTTTACTATCTATGTATACTTTTTTTTTGTTAATACTTACTTGCCATTCATTTTTTATATATAGTTTTGTCTTTACTTTTTAATTTTATTACTCAGGCTTACATCCTGAGTCCACCATTTTTATTATGGGGATAAATATACCAGGATATATATATATATATATATATATATATATATATATATATATATATATATATATAAAGAAAGAGATAGATACAAACACCTATTAGTATCTGCACATTCCTGTAAAAGCAGAAAAAATTTCCTTAAAAATTGCATTGAAGAAAAAGTTATTCCTCAAAGTTCACAGATTACTCAAAACTTTACATCACGTATTTCTTCTTGATGTGCAGAAATTCAACATTACCTCTACTGGGCTGAACACATGTCCTGAATGCATCTCACTTGACTCCCACATATTGTCTTGCTTGGAGAGCTCACCAGTAGCAAGAGGCTATGTAGAGTCCCAAAATGGTGCTTCAAGAATCAGTTGAAGACATCCCTGACACAGGCTTACATCAACCTGCAAGACTTGGGAAAATGTTAGCTGCAAATCATCCTTCCTGGCATAGGACCATGTGAGTGGGGACTGAGACTTTAGAGTCCAACTGTCGATATGAAGAGGATCTGCAATGTGCTGTCAGTGCCCATGATGACATAGGTATGTGTAGTTAAGATAAGAATAATCTTAAACAAAAATATATCAACAATCTCTAAGCAAGTGTTCCAAGAAGTAGGATAAACTTTCCAAAATAGAAACTGTGATCTGGATTGGAATCAGTGATGGCATGTACGCCGTATCCATCATAAAAATTCAGAATGTGCAATTAATAAATACTACATATTTAAAACACCTTGGTGTATGGATCAATTTAGTATAGGGGGAAATAGAACATAGAATAAGTACCACTTTGTGTAGCTTCATCCAATTGAAAGCAGCTATAAAACTAGAGCATTAATTTAAATACTCAAGTCATGTTCTTAAATAGCCTTATCTGATCTAAACTCTCATATTGCTGTCATGCATGGTATCCAAGTCATTCAGAAATGTCGAAAATGTCAGTTGTATACAGCTGCTTCAGTGTTGATATGATTTCCTCTTCAACTTTTGTAAAAAATTAAAAAAAATAGATCATTATTATCAGTAGTTGCAGATGCAGACCCTGAAATATTAATAATCTTTTTCATTTCTTTCCTACTGATATGATTTCCTTTTCAGCTTTTGTAACAAACATACAGATCATTATTATCACAGTGAGTGTAAATGCAGACCCCACACTTAATAGTCTTTTCTTCTTTCAATGATGATATGGTTTCCTTTTCTGCTTATGTATTAAACATACAAAACTCAGATCATTTTCATTATGGTGAGTGTGGATGCTGATCCCATGCTACTAATAATTTTTTCATTTCTTTTCTTTTTCCAATATTGATAATATTTCTTTTCTTTTCAGGTTTTATAATAAACATATACAAATCAGATCATTATTATCATGATGAGTGTGGATACAGACCCCACACATAATTCTTTTAATTTCTTCTTTCAATGTTGACAGTATTTCTTTTTAGCTTTTGTGATACACATACAAAAATCAGATCATTATTATCATGGTGTGGTTGCAGACCCCATACTATTCTTCCTTTTCTTCTTTCACTGTTGATATGATTTCCTTTTCTGCTTTTGTAATAACCATACAAAAATCAGATCATTGTAAGTGTGGATGCTGACCCAACACTTATGTTGCAAATTCAACTGGAAATTTCTTTATTCTTCAATTTCAAGCATTTTGAATTACTCCTTAACAAAGACCTTTTTGATTTGTCACTTTAACATAAATCCCCTAAAACGGAGAATGAAACATTATAATATATATACTTGAATTGTCAAAAAATAAATTGTTAATATTTGTTCTTGCAGGATTGGCCAGAGAACAGAATAGAAATGGAAATCATGGCTGTGCAATCAATTCTTCTTTCTTTTCAACATCAAAGAACATACAGAAACCAGATAAAAATGCAGATGACCATATATGACTTTGAAAATGTTACTAAAGAATTAGAGGAATTAAATGTTTCTCAAAAAAAAAAAAAAGAGAGAGAGAAAGTGTTTGAAGAAACCAAGATTTTGAGTCTAAAGTTGTTTCCATTCTTTTATGCATGAAAGAATTTCTTTTGAATTCTTCTATGCAACAGAAAACTCACACTGGAGATAAACCCTTTCCCTGTGAGACTTGTGGAGCAAAGTTTTCACAAAATTCAAGTTTAGTGATACATATTCAAAAACATACTGGTGAAAAACCGTTCCAGTGTGGTATATGTGGTTCGGAATTTTCAGAAAATTCAAAATTGAAGATTCACATGAGAACACACAGAGGAAAAAAAACATTTCACTGTGAAAATTGTTGGACAAATTTTTCATAAAGTGAAACTCTAAAAAACACATACTGGGGAAAAACCATTCACTTATGTTTGTGATTCAAAATTTTCATCTCATGCAAGTTTAAAAATACACTTGAGGACACATACTGGTGAAAAAACCTTCCACTGTGAGATTTGTGGAGCAAAATTTTCAGACAGCTCAAACTTTAGAAAGCATCTGCAAATTAATAGTGGTCAGAAATTTGTGATTCACAGTTTTCTGCAGTTTCAGACCTTGAGAAACATCTGTGAACACACACTTGAGAAAAGCCATTCCCTTGTGAGATTTGTGGAGCAAAATTTACCCAAAATTCAAGTCTGCATAGGCATATGCAAAGACACATTACAGAGAAAAAACATTTCCTTGTGATATTTGTGCATCAAACTTTTAAAGTAATTCAAATTTGAGAAGACATCTGTGCAAGATAAATACCCAAAATATTATTTTTTTGATTTTTATATTTATGAAAATGTATGTAAGTTAATTTTGAATAAAGTGTTTAAAAGGGGAATTTAATCATTTTTTTTTTGTTTTTATAAAACTCATACTTGAAAAGTTAAAGGGCATTTTATAATAAAACCTAATTTTCTTGTGTGTAATACAAGAAATTTTGAACAAAAATTAAAAGGAAAAAGTGTAGTCATATTACACATTTTCAGAAATTTTTACTCAGCTTAAAAAACCTCTTGCTGTGACAATGTAATCGTCTTAGCAAAGAGGCTATAGGATTAAAAGCATGTATAAGATGAGAGCAGAGGAGGAAAGAGAGAGGGTGATGTTAACTTGAAAATAACATCATTTTGGAAAGAAGTGAAAATCAGCTTGGAAAATGAGAATAAATTTTTAAATTCCTAAACTGGAACTGTGAGGATTTGAAACTGGGAATCCAAAGTAAAGTTTTCCAATTTTCATATTCATATACAATTCTGGGGATAGACAAAGGAATTAATCTGGCCCTGGACCTCTTTCGTCACCTCTGATCATGGAGGACACAGGAAGGGTATTCTCTATAAATAAGAAGTCGCCGGAATGTGCAGACAGTTCTGTTTACTGTGACAACTTGTCATGACAAGCACAACTGAAAAGTAATTTCATTCCCATAAATTCCCTAGCAGTAGACGATGGAATTGAAGAAAAGCAAGTGCCAACCCCCTTCTTCTTTAACTACCCATACCTACCACCTGTGTTGAAGTAATGTAATTCCACCAGACAATTTTCATTGTTTCATTTTTTTATTTTTAAATAAATCTTTATTATTGAAGATAATTCCACCCAGGGAGTCATCTATTCCTATGAAGACATTATTCACCCAGTCTGTGGACTAAAAAGAACACCACAGCTCAGTAAAAATGGAAGAAAATAAATAATTTTTCTCTTTTCTTGTTGGTAATCACAATGCAATCCACTAGATGACATGGTCAACTGTAAATAGCACCGCAACCGACAGAGATGCACCCAGTAAAGTTACTATGGGCACATGTTCATATTATTTGAAACGGCAAATTGCAAATTCATTCAACACAATAGATAATAAAATACAAAATAGGCAGGTGTTGATAACAATGGTTTACAAAAGGTATTTGATATGTTGGCAATATTTGAAAATCAACATAATGTTTAAAATTAAAACAGTTTCCCTTACAAGATAAAGTTTGTTTACATTTTTCTTTTTACTTTTTATATAAAGTTTTCTTTCTTCATTTTCAATAAAAGACAATACTTTTTTTAATATTTTTATAGTGTTATATAGGAATAAAATGTCGCTGCCAACACTGGAGTTTGAACACAGATCACCAGAGAGTAAACACAGGTGATCCCATTTTGAATAAGTAGATCACATGATGGTAAAGGAAATGTATATATGGGAATTAGCGTGACATCTAAGGGATCACTATACGGATTACTGTTCAGATCAATATTTGTTGGTTACTTTTTAAGCAAGTATTTTCGAGCAATTACTATTAGTGCGAATGTTATTCGAAGGCGTCTGACACCAGTATTGTTTAATCTGCAATTACAAAGTCTCTAGTACAATGAGTATTACGAAAGTGACAACAAGTGTTTGTTGACATCACAAAATATAGTTTATTAATATATAGAAGTATAAAGTCATATCAAACAGAAAAGTATGATTAACAGCTTCAAAGATATTACTGGGTATATCTAGTTAGCACCTTTCCCTGAAAATTCTGAAATAGAAATTAGAAGAAACTCACAATGACTAAACATTCAGTTCCTTTCTATTTAATATTGTGAAAAATTAAGTATTTCAGTGAATTATATGACATTGAGATTTTAATGGATAATATGGTACTTTTCAAAAAAATAGGAATAGCTGTACTTCAGTGTTGTATTATATTCAAGGATGTAATTTATTCCGTTTTTGGCTTCAGAAACACTGGGTCATATTATACAAAAGTTAATATGACAAAAGGAATTTTCAATTTATCAAAATTAAAGAAAAAACATCCAGCTTCAAAAATTGATATCCCTGCGTAACACTAGGATGGCCAGCTCCTTTGACATCTTTATTTACATTACGCCGTGAAGCAGCCATCTTTAATATATTCAATATTCAAGTCAGGAATAACAAGTCTAAAAAAAAAATCCACAAATATTAGTATACCTCATACTGAAAGAAAGTGATTATATTATATATATATATATATATATATATATATATATATATATATATATATATATATATATATATATAAATTATGTGTGTATGGATAAATAGATAGATGGGGACATAAACACAAGTATTATTACTACTTGTGAGAAATTTTTCAATGCATTTACCCTACAAATAGCCTAGGTGTCAAAAACGACACCTCGGCCATTCAAGGTAAAACCTAAAGTATCAGCTATTCCACTGAATATTTTTTAAAGAATTAAGTCTGTTAAGCATCTTTGCTAAAATTCAATAATTGTCCATAAGCCTCAGCATCGAACCAAAACTAGTTATTCCATAGTAATTTGTTGAAAATTTGAAGGTGTCGAAAACAACACCTCGGCCATCCTAGTGTTAAATAATCAGCAAAGTGTCAATAACCCATAGAACGCAAATCAATCTGATGTTACACTTTATAATATTGTAATGTAGTTAGAAGCCTAGTCATCCAGTCCTTATTTCTCTGCCCCACTTTTTTAAGCCAACCAAAATTTGCTAAAAATGTTATAGTTGTATTTAGTATTTGTTTGTATCTCTCCACTTTGTGTGGTCAAATCCTTTTGTTTAATCTTCTTTTAATCTTACCAACATTTGACAAAAAAAAACTCTTTATTCAAAATGAATATCTGTTTTTATTAATCCTTCTACAGCCTGTCTGAAGTTATTATGCAAATCAGATAGACCTCAATAACTCAAAAAGTTCTGAACCAATATTTGTCAAATTTAAATTCATCCATTTCCACCCTCATTAAGATATTTATGTAAATTTTCTGCTATTTTTAATTGTTAATTTTTGAGATATTTGGAATTTACAAAAATGAACTGACTGAAGTTAGTATGCAGATTAAACTAATATTAGCTTAAGACCTCTGAAGTCTAATAAAATCTATTTTTTGTCCATAATGTTGAAACATTGGTAAAGGGAAATATCTAACAACTGCTGAAAAAGAAAATAAAATTAAGTGAGGGAATGTCTACATTGGAAATATCAAAAGAGCTTCGCAGAGAACACCGAACGATAAAGAAGGATGTTGAAAATATAAGTTGAGAACTCATTAATTGAGATGAAATTATACAAAGGTGGCAATCAATATGACAATAAATTAAAAACTGGGAAGCAATTAAAAATTACCATGTTAGCAATTGAACCTACTGAAGTAAAAAAAATTAACAAAATCAATGGATGATAGATTACTGGCTATTATTGAGAAGAAGGGTCACGATATTAAAATGTAAAGGATTTAAAGACTTATCATATATGTTTATTATTTGTTCTATTATAGGTGTTGATGTATTTTTGATGATTTTATTCCCTTTTTATTGAAGTAAAATGTTATTTGGTTTTGCCTAATAACTAAAGACAGCAGTTCCTTAGACTACATTAAATAACTTCAATAAAACATATATTGCCTAAAATTTTAGCTCAAGCTTTGTTTTGACATCTAAATTGATTGTTTTTCACACCAAATTTGAATTATTGAAGTTTATATGATTTGTTTAATAACTTCAGACAAGGTGTACTTGAAACATACTGAAAAATGCTTATAAATTAGAAGTGTTACCAACAATTTTTTTTGGATTTAAATTGCTTTTACTCTTAGTGGAACCCTTGAAATAATTTCCATGTCTCGGGGAAGCCCTGCATATAAATTATTACATATCATTAATATTTATCTCTTATATTTTTATCATAGTTTACATGATAAACATAATTTCTTTTTTTTCAGATAACTGGTTTATGGAAAAAAATGAACCCCTTTCTTGTCAAATTTATTGGCAATGCAAAAAAAAAAATTACTTGTTTATGAGAGGTTTTCATTCACAAAAAAATGTGTAAACACACAAAAAATAAATATAATAACTAATATTATTATAATATAATAACCAAGGATTTTCCAACAATATGTTATGTGTGTATAGTAGAATTACAAATATAAAATTAAACAAAAATTACTCAAAAATGCATTAACCTATTTATCACTGTTTTGTGAGGAAACTCAAGGGTTCCATGAGAACACCAGTTGAGAAACATTGGTTTATACTAAATACTTTTCATCTGTTGTTTTTAGTTGAGTAAATGTGAAAATTCCTTGAAAGAAGAGCATACCAAAAATCAGAAACTGATGGCCAAAGTAAGTTTTTCTCTTTGCTTTTTTCTACTTCTCTTTCCTACCTTCTCTTTTTTTTTAACCTTACCTTGCTCTATTTCTCTCCCCTTTGCTTTTTTTTCTCTTCTTGTTCTCTTCTTTACTTATTTCTTTCCATTTTCCAAACCTTACTACACTCTTCTGTTTTCTTTCTTAACCACCATACTCATCTTAACTGCTCTCTTATCTGTGCTTTCTTTCTCTCTTATCTGTGCTTTCTTTCTCTCTTATCTGTGCTTTCTTTCTTCTCTCATTTCTTGCTCTATTATTTTGTTTTTTCTTTATTTATTCTCTCATTTTTTTCTTTCTCTCTCTCTTGTATTGTTTCTTTCTCTCCCCTATCTTTCTCTCTCTCTCTCTCCTCTATCGTTCTTTCTCTCTCTATTTTCCACATTTTGCCTCCTTGGTGTTGATGAATAGTTCAATTTTTTTTTTTTTTTCTTTTTCTTTTTTCATATCTAAATTAAAAATGATTAATGCAAATCAGATATCCAAATGTTTCTGATTTAAAGTAACATTTTTATTCTGCTAGTACTTTTCTTAATTTTCCACTTTTTCACTCTCTTTCCTTAAAATTCCAGATTAAAACTCTTGAATCAAACCATGAAAAAGTGCTTCACCATAACCATTTACTGATGGAGCTACAATCCAAGGTGAGATTTTATTTTTTTTTATTTTACTTTTTTTAAAAAAAAAATTCACTGCAAGCAAGTCAGTAAAGCCACTAAGACACAAGGGGTTACTCGGTGTAAAAGAATTTGTAAACAGAAACATTATAAGGGGTGAGAACAATAGAAGAGTAATCAAGAAGACAGCAGATAATGACTGACACTGCATTTAAATTTTTGAAGATCAAAGCTGGCTGGTAAGCATGGAGCCAGAAGATTGTTCCATAAACAAGAAGTGCGAAAAAAGAAACTGTTAGCATAGAACTTACGGCTACATCTAGCCAATTCAACTGTAAATTGAAGAGACGTTGTTGGCAATCTGGTACTACACTTAAATTCATAAAGTCTAGGTACTATAGTGAAGAGTTTATTTGAAGTTATGATGAAAGTATTTATAGAAAAAGGCCCCAGTACTCCATGTTTGACCTGATCTGGATCTTGTAAGGGTTAAGATTATCAGAAAGGCATTGAATGTAACCAGCCAGTTTTTATCCCATTGGACAGTTTGTGCAAGATCGGAAGGAAGATCAGTTGCCAGTCACTGATCATCCACTGTTTTAGAGTTGCGTCCGTACATACTTGTATCATTGGCATAAATGTTTACAAATGATATGAATATATTCTTAGGTAGATCATTTATGTAGATCAAACATAGGGTTGATCTTAGTAGTGGCCCTTAGTTAAAAATAGACTATAGATCATTTTTGAGATCAGCTGTCAATTTGTCCTTATTGAACAGATCAGATGTACTATCGATACAGGAAATTTATGTTGAGACTTTATGTATTGAGGAATGTTAGAGGGTGCTTACTTACTTCCCCTCTAAGGGACGATAACTCAAAATACAATGAAGTTATGTCCTTTGTCTGCTAGTTGGACCGCAACACTTTGGATTTCAACATGGTGATCTGACATGCATGTGGAACATATGGTTTAAATTCAAACATCCTTGCTGTTCTCAGGCAATAAATAAATGAAAGTTATTTTATTATGTGTTAAAATACACTTGTCTTTTATTCTAATTTGTTTTTTTCTTCCCAACAACTGTGAATATAACAGGGAATAAAGTAAATTTATTTGATTGAAATGTAAAATAATGAATTGTGTAATAGATTTTCAGTAAATTTCAATCAAATAAAATGTTTGCATTTTGATTGAAGTGACCTGAGCAATTTGAATCACAATGTCTGTTATTTTTCCATATTTCAGCCATTCAATTGAAAGGTTATTTTAGAGGCAGAGATGAATATATATTTTACACCCAGTACCAATTGTGATTTTCAAAGCAGGATTATCCGCCTTAAAAGTCAGTGTAATATAATCTTCCTACCAGGGCCAACATGTACTACCCTCAAATGTCCCAACATTTGGCAAACCCGATTGGAGGCCACAAGTAGTGCTCTGTGACCCTCGCTATCTTATCAATATTTATTCTACTTACATTTATATATATTAAAAAGCTATATATATATATATATATATATATATATATATATATATACATTTATATATATTACAAATAAGCACAACAGACTATTAAAGGTTGAAATATTTTCATAGATTTTGATGTCATTCTGGGGTCTTTTTTGAACAAGAAAAATTTCAAGTTGATGTTAAAAATTTCTGCAGGATATTGTTTTATTTAAGATGGAATGATCTATTGCGATATGTTAAGATGGAATGATCTATTATTACATGTCTCTAATTTGTATTTATTTCAAATTTTTCTAGCTCAGTTGTTCATCTATATTGCATATAATCCATTATTGTACATAATTAAGTTATAATAAAATTTTATATGAAAACAACATTATGAAAATTAAGATGATGTTGGGTATGTCAGTGTGGGGATCTTTTCTTAGATTCAAGGAGTGAAGCCAGCCAGAAACTTGCACCGGCCCTGCTCCCTACATACATTCACTGTAGAAAATATCAATTATTAAACATTTAAATTTAATTGAAATGCTTTTTTTATATTTTACAGGAGAGATTTTCATTACAGAATAATGTAAACTTTGTTTGTTATAGTATATAATAAACAAATTCTTTATTTTTTATTTAATTCCAGATGTCAGCAGGTCAAATCAGTAAACCAAAATATGGTTATCCAAATCCCATTACTGGTAATTTTTTTTTTTTTTAATTTCATTCTATAATATTTACATTTTATTTATATATATATATATATATATATATATATGCACTCTTTACTCTTTGTCTGGCAGTCACAAGGACATGAAACCCAGGGTCACAAACTCACATCAATCCAACTAAATATATATATTTATTCTTAGTTGTATTGATTGGAGTTTGCAGCCATGGGTTTCATGCCCTTGTGATCGTCAGCCAAACTGATTTATTTTAAAAAAATAAATCCCTTTGTCTGACAATCGCAAGAGTATAAAACCTAGTGTCACAAACTCACATCAATACAACTAAATATTAATATGTTAGCTCTATCACTGTTATTGAGAGCTTTCCAATAAGTACCATATATATATATATATATATATATATATATATATATATAATACATAAAGTGTGCATTTTAAAAAGTTTATAACTTTATTTGTATTTGCAATAGAAATAATCTGTAAAAAAATGTTATAAAGTTTAATGTACCTAGTTTTAAGTATAGCTAAAATAACTAATGTGATTTCAGGCATTACTGTAAATCAGTTGGCAAATGTTTTCCATGAACTGCAAAATCGTATTACCCTTTGTATTGCTAATGATGGAGGACATGTGGAAACTTAAATAAAATTTCAATAAAACCTTAAAAAATATAGAATTACTTTTTTCTAATCCTTTTTACAAATTATTTCTATCGCAAATACAAATAAAGTTATAAATTTTTTAAAGTGCACACGAACTTTATGGACATCCTGTATAAATATATATATATATATATATATAATATATATATATTTTTAGATTTAAGAAAATAATTATAATATACACACACACATACATACATTTATATATATATATATATATATATATATATATATATATATATATATATATATATATATATGTGTGTGTGTGTGTATTATTTTTAAAAAAAATTTCATCGCTACATAAACATTTTCATGTCTCAAAATTTTTTTTGAAGCATGAGAACTCTTGTGTAGCGATGGAATCATATTTTTAAAAAAATAATTATAATATGGGCTCTATTTTTGTATTGAACACTGTTTTTTAAAAATAAAAACAAAAATACTAAAGAACTTCAAATTATGAACCTAATGGTTTTTTCCTATTTTTCTATATATTTGCATGCACACACACACACACACACACACACATATATATATATATATATATATATAATATGATTCATGAATTTGAGAGGATTAAAATAGAATTAGACATATGTTTAGATTATTAAACCAAACATGATTGAATGAAGATATTCTTATATATTTATATATATATATATATATATATAAACTGATTAGTTTTTCTTTTCTCTCTTAGCTGCAAGTAATGAAAATCTCCTAACCCCTAACATGGAATGGTCTTGCAAGCAATGCACTTTCACAAACAGTTATCAGAGCGAAGTGTGTTTAATTTGCAAAGCACCAAAATCTCGTAAGTTAACATTTCCATACTTTCATCCTTTGTTTCTTCTTGTGCTTTGTCTCACATGCATTTCCAGGTTAGCTTGATAATGATTTGCAAAGTGATCCATCATTCTTTTGGATATTTCTCTATCTGTCTCTCTCTTTCTATATATATATATATATATATATATATATATATATATATATATATATGTGTGTGTGTGTCTATATATATATATATATATATATGTGTGTGTGTGTGAAAACATATATATATATATATATATATATATATATATGTGTGTGTGAAAAAACATATAGAAAATAGGAAAGAACTTGTTAGGTAAATAATCCAAAGTTCTTTAGCATTTTTGTTATTATTTTTAAAAAACAGTGCTCGATACAAAAGTAGAGCCTAAATATAATTCTAATTATTTATTTAAAAATATAATTCCATCGCTACATAAGAGTTCTCATGTTTCAAAACAAGAGCCAAAAACTTCAATATAATTATTTGAATTAAATTATCAAGCTCTGTTCCATCTTCAAGCGAAATTTTTTTTGGAATAACTAATTCTTGAAATTTACGCGTTTTTATAAGTATTATTAAAATTTAAATTATTATGGTAACGGCTAGAGCAATTATTTTTAAAAAAATGCGGGGACGTAAGGGTTAATAATTTGTATCAATATCTCAGTTACATTCAAAGAGGCCAAGTCAGGGTAAGGTTGGGGTGTCTAAATTTAAAGCAGAAGTTGACATTGTCTAGTCTGGTTAATTGTCTATGGAGATTTATTTATTTTTTTATTTTATTTTCTTTCCTGAAAGTGTTTTGTGTATATATATGTATATGTGTGCCCTCATATACATAAATGAATCTATGATCCTGACCAGACATCTCAACTTCAGTCATTATCTCACTGATGTGACATTGCTTCCCTCTGTCTTTTCTACAAATATTTTCATGGCAACTGGCAAGCTTTTTACCCTGGTGTCCCAAATACATGAATTCAGGCATAATACTAGATTGGCATCTAGGTCCTACTCTTTTACTGTTAAAATAGTTAAATGTAACCACCACTTCTACTCCAGCAGTTTCTTTTCTTGCACCTACCACCAGTGGAGCTCCCTTTCATTTACTTGCTACTCTGATAACTAGAATCTTCAGAAATTTAAATGTAACATCAATCAGAATCTTCTGTCTTCTTGAATCTTGTTCATCTTTTGTCCTTTCCTCAATCCTCCCTATACTCAGTCTTTTCTTTCATTCTCTGTAACCCTCTGCTTGCTAATGGCATTTTGTGGTGAAATGATTAAAACAACAAAAAAACGAATACAAAAGTCCTCAAGAACACATGGCACAGTCGATAAAGGCGTTAGTTAGATTCAGTGACAGGACCCAAAGAGTGTGAGTTCAATACCTTGTTAAGATTGTGGAGAACTTGGAGAGGCAATTAAGCAGGAGATAACATGGCATGTGGAACTAGAACAGACTACCCCAGTGAGCAAAATAAAGGGTTCAGTTCGACATTCCAACCACCTAAAGAAGGCCGAAACGGTCTAATAAAGATGGCAACGAAGATGAGGACAATAGTCTGAATAATGTAAATAGTGTACATAATACCTAATCTCAGAAATATAGATATATAATACATTAGCAATTCATTGTAATCTGTCTGACCATAATTTTGACTGAAAGAATGCAGATTCAATTAAAAGAAAATAATTTATTAAGGTGAAAACATATTGAAAGTGCACTAATTTCTGAGTTTTCTAAATTTATGTCCAAGATCCTGTAACATATCTTCTTTCTGAACAAACCTACTGCCATTACAATGTAGGCCATTTAAAAAAAAAACAATGGCAATAAAAACAAAAGCAATAGAAAGCTTAATGAGGCTGGCTTGGTTATACATTGAAATATATTGGTAGTCAGATATTTAAAATTTAAACTTAAGTGCTTCTATCATGTTTTTTGATGCCGAATTGTAACCAACATTTGTTGTATTTCATTCCTTTCCCCAATATATATATATATCATTATTTATATATAAAAAAAAAAAAAACTGTCTAAACTGTTCCTTACAATATATTGGGGAAACTTTCAGAAATTTAAAAATAAAGTATCTATGAACACAAAAGGGATCTTATATACAATAATTCATCAAATGCATTGGTTATACATAGAAATAAATTTAACCACAACTTTGAACTAAAGAATGCCACACTTATTAACTTACTAAAATATAAATCTGAACCCCAGATATTTTCAAATATCTTCTTTCATAAAAGATATACTCTTTTCCAAAGCCAATATATATAACCATAAAAATGTTTTTAAAATTTTAAAAATGGTTAAATTCAAAACCTTCTATTATTTAAAATAAATAGATGAATTTATTTTTCAAACTAAAATAATAATTATATTAAAAAAAATTCAACAATAAAAATATTTACTCACTTTTGAAAACTTTTCAAATTTTATAATGTTCATGCTCACATATAACTTACATTAATTCTTTGTCTTCGCAAACTCCTGAAGATGATTTTGGATGAGATTGAAAGTAATTGGGAAAATAAAAACCATATAGATAATTATGTTTTCTTATTCAGTTTTGTACCGACACTAAGAAATTGATACATGAACTAATATAAGTCAAGATTATTCAATCAAACATGCTTGATTATATAATCATCATTGAGTCAATCTTCGATAAGTTTCATGAAGTTTATATATATATATATATATATATATACGAAAATGCAGTTGGTTTATTGTTTAGCAGCTTGAATTGAGAAATCAGTAAGCTGAATTCCAGTCGAGTTCATTAAATTCACTTTTGCATACTCTTGTATGAATTCATCACTTCACCACCACCTATGGGTTAAATATTGTGGCAGACTGAGTTGGTGACCAGTTTAGAAGAAAAACAACTAAATTTAAAATCTGAGGAGGGCTGTTTGGATTCCTTGTGACACACTGAACATTACTAAAGACTGTGTGTACACCATCCCGTGCAGCTGTGGTAAGAAATACAAAGAAAAACAGGCTGCCCCCTTAAAGTAAGACTACAAGAACATTGTAAAGCTGTAAGAGGAAATAGAAAAATCAGATGTAGCTGACCACATATGGAGGGAAAAGGGAGATCAATACCAGGAGAGTTGAGTAACTACCCCAGTGGATGAAACAACGGGTTCGGTTCAGTTCAAAATTCCAGTCACCTGAATAAGGCTGGAACATACAACAACCGAAATGTTGTGAATATGACAATGAAGATGAGGATAACAGTCCGAATAATGTAAATAATGCAAGTAATATATAGTATGGGACTGAAATATATATATAATAGGGAAAGAATATATATATATATATATATATATATATATATATAGTAGTGAAAAGAAAATGTATATATTTATAATAGTGAATTGAAAAAGTGTGTGTGTGTGTATATATATATATATATATATATATATACTAAGTGGTGAATTGAAAAATATTACAATAAAGAAACAGCAAAAGCACTAACCGATTATCACTCCTCATTCTTCAGACAAAACATTTATGTGCATAATGACTAAAAAAAAAAAGAAGAAAACTATATTAAAGAACCAGTAGTATAAATAACAAACATTAGAATTTTGACCTAGCAACCATTCCTTCTGTTTACAGAAGTGTGGGGAGGGGGCTGCTTAGACTTAATATACATAGTCTCAAGCAATGCTACTACTGTTACAAAACTGGCAGATATGAAATAATCTCTGGTAAAAGATGAGACACAAATCAGATTATTTTTAGGTATTTTGCAATCACAGATCTGGAAAAATTAGCAAAGCATATGCAAATTTTCATCCTGTATCTGAACGGGTTCATATTGATCAGCCCTTGCCTCCAGCTTCTGATTAGTTCTAGCAATATATTCAATGTTGTACTGACATTTAAAATCACAAATCACAAAACCAATATGATTGGAAGGGTGTGAACAGAATATTCACTCACTAATTATTAATGTCTTTCTTTCTTTCAGCAACCAGACAAGCAACTTCAAAGATGAGCGGTCGTTGGAAGTGCAGTTGTTGTACTTACGTCAATAACTACAAAGCTGATGCGTGCGCCATGTGCAAATCCTCCAGAAAATGTAAGTATTTATTCTGTTTTCTCTCAGCACTTCTACTGAATTTTCAGGGATTATTAGTGGTCAGTGAGCAATGAAATTTCTGTGTGTGTGTGTGTATATATATATATATATATATATATATATAGATATATATAGATATATATATATACACATACACTCTCGACTCTCTCATTGAATTCAATGTATGAGGCTCAAGCAGATCAGTTCTTAGGAAACCGACAGCCTGACACCAGCACATGAGATTTGATTATAGTGGTGAAGGTTTTGTGCAGAACTATCCACACTTTTTGAAGGGCTGAATACAGAGACCTGTGCACTACATGTCACAAGGTCCACAAATGACCCTCCACAGCTTTTGAATTCAGAGTTGTCCTTCTCCTAGACCAGTTGCCATCCAAGGCTATAGAACCCAGTCTGTCCTGCTATTTACCCATAGCTGGAGGGAGAAGAGGATTCATATCTTTCCAAAGGGTATTACCACGTAAGTGAATGTAATGGATTTGACTGGAATTTGAACCTGGCTCTCCAATCTTCAATCCAAGTCGCTATTCATTACACCACTGTGCCTCCTCACACATGCTCACCAGGCTTTGGCTAGGGTAGTTTCAAAATAATATTAAGTTCAAGCTACTTGAGGTGTCCCAAAAAAGTGCAAATGGTATAGACGCTTGAGAAATTTTTCTACACTATTGCTGTTAAACCCATTTTAAACTCACTTTGTGTCACATTCAGTAGCAATATAGGGACACTGACACACACATATATATATATATATATATATATATATATATAATATTGTTAGGAAACATAAAAGAGAAGTGGGCCTTGTAATTCCAGCAAATTATGTGGCGATGACTACTAATAATAAAAAAAGGTGGTTATTCCAGACAAGGATTTAAAAAAAAAAAGGTTTGGGAGAGATGACAAAAAGACAAAAGTTATTAAAAGCTACAAAGGACAGGAAATTGTGGAGAGCCATGATCATCAATGTCCTAAATGGACACAGTACATAGAAAAAAAAAAAAAAAGGTTAAATTTTTTATTTTTTATTTGGAATGGAGTACTAAATTGAGTATATATGGTATTGCAAGCATTCTGTTTCTGATTATATAAAAAAAAAAAAAATAATTGATATTAAAGAAAACAAAAAGAAAATTTAATTTTACTCTTTGTTCTGTCCATCATTGTAGCTTGCCAGTGGGAAGAAAATGAACACTTGAGCAAACCCCAAAAGTAAGTTGGATTCATGCCTTTTTTTAAGTATTTTAAGTAAAATTGTGTGTGTATATATATATATATATATATATATATATAAAAAAGAAAGAAAGAAAAGAACAGTAATTAAAAACATTAGTTCCATTTCATCCTCAAGCTATTACTCCAAAATTCGCTTGAGGATGAAATGGAACTAATGTTTTTAATTTAATTACAAAATTAAATTTGAAGCTTTTAGCTTCTATTTTTGAAATATAGTTATTACTGTGTAACGAAAAAACCATATTTTAAATCAGTTAATTTATAATATATATATATGTGTGTGTGTGTGTGTATGGAAATCTTATATAGCATATACACCACAACCCTTTCTCATAGATTCTTCTATGTGCCATATCTCTCTTCTGGATGTAGACGATCATGGCTCTCCACAATTTCCTGTCCTTTGTAGCTCTTAATAAATTTTTTCTTTTTCTTATTTCTCCTGAAACCTTGTTCTGCCATCCATTTATTCAAGCTCACTAAGTAAATTATGCAATGTTTTCCTCTGTCTTCAATCTGCCCTGTGAGTATCATATTTTTCAATCTCACTTTCCTCATTATGTTCCCTAGAAATATCAACTGTCTATTAAGTATAAGTTTCATTGTCTTTCCATTTTCTCTAAAACATTGTTGTTGCTTACATGTGTGGTCCATGGTATCCTCAGCATGTTGAACCACATTTCTAATGCTGCAACACTCCTTCTCATCTGTGTGGAGACTGATTTGCAATATATCTAACTAAAGTGCAATGCAACAATACAGGCTACCAAAACATAAAAATTGCTATAATATAATACAGCTATTTGTTGATAATACAATAATACTCAGTAAAGCAAATGAAAAAAAAGGATTGCAAACTTTAGAATCTATTCATATTAAGTTACAACAACCACTAATCAATAAGTAGCAGCTTGGATTGAGGAATTGGAGAGCCAAGTTTGATTTCTAGTTAAATCCATTACATTCACTTACATGCTAATACCCTTGGGGAAGGCATGAATCTTCTTCTCCCTCCAGCTATGGGTAAATAGCAGGTCAGACTGGATTCTATAGCCTTGGGTGGCAACTGGTCGACCAAAGAAAGAAATGGCAACCTACTGTGGGGAAAAAAATCTGCCTCATCAGTCATGTATCGAAAGATACATGATCACCTAAGCATTTATCACACATGGCACATAAGTGACTGGCTAGGAACACTTAATCTACAATGAAGTTCTCAGAATACATCAGCAGAACAAAACTTTCTACAATGTTAACTACCACCAGTCACAATGAATGAATGTTCCCTCGGGGGGGGGGGGGCTCATGCCTTGTTCAACTATCGGGCCTCAACCCAAATCTCAAGTGGATGCAGAGAAAATAATCATTTTCCTGTACTGCTTCAGTAAGTATCTGATCTTTCATGTGATCTGCTTAATCAAGAGCCAGATTAAGCCTAATATGGAGTACTGCTGTCATATTTGGGTAGGAGTTGCCTAGTCCTCTCTTTCCCGTCTCTATAGACACCAAAAGTATCTTCACACCCTTGTGGGTGATAAATTATTTTCCACCCTGCAACCCTCTCTCTCACAAAACACCACAAACCTCTCATTGCTCTATCGCTACTTCCATGGAAAGTGCTCAGACGAACTACATTCTTGAGTTCCACCATTTCTTACCTTCACAGTTAGGACCCTCCATCCTATACTCATTGGAGTGAACCACCATCATTCCTTTTGTATTTCACTGGTGACAAGTAAGTTCCACATGAGCAGCTTCTTCCCATGAACTACTGTTCTGTGGAACCAACACCGAAGAGGACGTTTCCCAGATCACTACAATGTTAACCTGTTTAAGTTTAGATTTAACTGTTATCTTCCCCATATATCCATATAAACTATATCTCTTACTCTGTAACACTCTTCCTCAATTGGCTCCTGGGCCTTGTAAAGGGTGAACCTCACTGTAAACAAACAAAAAAATGTATATATAATCAACAAATAGCGTTTACAACATTATCAGGAATATTTAATTTGCATAACAATTTTTAAGAGATGGTAAGGCATTCCTATAATAATCATCTTTTCCACTGTATTCCTATAGTAAACATCATTTCCAATACAATCTTATAGTAATGAAAGTCCATTCACTGTCAAGCGAGAATTTTTCTGTCTGGAATCTATCTTGCCTATCTATAAGTCTACCATTCTTCCATGCTTCGAATATTGTTGCCATATATGATCCGGTGTCCTTACTATTTTCCTTGATTTCCTCAATAAGCTCCAAAGAAGAATCAGCAATATTATTGGTCCTGATCTTGCAGCTCAGCTTCAGTCACTTGCCCACTGCCATAAGGTTGCCTCTCTGTGCCTTTTTTATAAATACTTTCATGGTAATTGTTTGGATGAGTTCTTCAGTATGCTACCTAGACTGTATGAATTTAAATGCAGTACTAGACTGGCAACAAAGTCTCATCAATTCACAGTTGAATTGGCTAGATGTAACCATAAGTTCTATGCTAATAGTTTCTTAACCCACACTTCTCGCTTGTGGAACTCTATCTCAGCCCCATGCTTTCCAACCAACTTTAATCTGCAAAAATTTGCAATGTTATTCACTATCTATTGTCCCCCTCATTACTCTTTCCTCTTTCTGCTCATTACTAATGTTTCTGTTCCTAATTCCTCGACAACCTGTAACACCTTGTGTGCTAGTGGCTGTACTGACTTGCCTGGGGTGATACCAATTTAAAAAAAAAAAAAAAATCATTTACAATGCATTCTGAAACTAAATATCATTTCCAATACAATATTATAGTAAACATCACCTCCAATGCATTTCTATAGTAAAACTCATTTCCAACGCATTTTCATTGTAAAAATCATTCCTGTAGTAATGTTGTAGAGTAGTTTCACAGTGGAGGCTTGTATTTCACTAAGTCGGTCCTAAAAGGGTCCGACGTACAAAACGTTAGTAACTTGAAATAATAGTTAATCTAGTTGTGGTGGTTGATACTTTAATGTCCGACATCGACTGACTCACCAACTCACTCTGAGCCCCCTGGCGACTGCTACTACTTATATCTGGGAGAGTCTATTTACAATAGAATAGGTATGTTCCAGTATAACAAGTAAAAACCATTTCCAATATATTCCAGTAGTAAACATTTCCAATACAATCTTATAGTAAAAACCATTTCCAATGTATTCCAATTTTAAAAATCTTTTTCAATGTTTTCCTATTGTCATATTCCTTCTTGTCAATTTTTTAATGCTTTTTTTGTGTTTTAACTTGTAACTCCTTTCAAAATTTGAATGCATTTGTATCTCATACTTTCTTTTTTTTTATTTACAGTTGAGCAACCTCTTTCCAATGTAAGTGAAATTTTATAGTATTTTTTATTAGTATACCCCTCACCCTCTCCTGAAGGATATCACACATTATTTGCAACACTTGATAACTTTGTGTCCCAAGTCCTCTAACATCACATTTACTGCCGTCATAATAGCAATACTGTAACTACAGCAAAATAGTCTGATGGAGGCCAAACCACTTCAGGATGGTTTTGTATTCAGTTTTCCTTCTCCTAGACTGGTTGCCACATGAAGGCAAGAGAGCTTACTATTTAATCCATAGCTGAAAAAAGTCTGATTTCTTTAGCACAAAGAGAAACAGAATCAAGTGGGTTGGCATGTTCTTTTCTTTTTCCCTGCCAATATCCATTATTCTAACTCCTACTTGTTAACTGAATTCAGTATATATGTTGAATCAATTATAAAACTAAATTTTTACCTATAATTTTAAAGAATATGATTTCTCCAAGACCAAGAACTCAGGTGAATTTTTAGCACACATAAAAAAGATAGTCCTAAAATTACCTAGAGTGCAACAACATTTATTGGCAATACATCTTTATAGTAAAAATAATTTCTAAAACATTCTTAGTGAAAAACTGTTTGCAATATGTACATGTTGTAAAAATTATTTCTAATGCTTTCCTATAGTAAAAAAATTTATTATGCATTCTTATAGTAAAAGAATTATTTTCAATGCATGTCCATACTTAAAATCATTTCTAATGCATTCCTGTAGTGAGAATTGTTTCAAATACATTCCTATAGTAAAAATCATTGGAAATGCATTCCTATAGTAAAAATCACTGGCAATGCATTTTTATAGTCAAAATAATTTCTAATACATTCTTACTGTAAAAGTCATTTGCAATGTATTTGTGTAGTAAAAATAATTTCCTATGCTTCCTTATTGTTAAAAATCATTTTTAATACCTCCCTATAATTAAAATAATTAGCATTGCATTCCTATAGTAGCAATCATTTCCAACAGATACTGATTGTAAAAATTATTTGTAATTTATTCCTTTAATAACAATTGTATGTAATAGCTTCCCTGTCCCTTTTTTTATAAATACTTTCACGGAAATTGTTTTGATGAACATTCATCTTTGGTACATTGAGTTTATAAATTGAAGCACAGTACTAGATTGGCAATTAGGTCTCACCATTTTATGGCTGAAATTGCAAATGTAACCATAAATTCTATGATAACTGTTTCTTCTTATTTTTCACTTGTAGAAATTTCTAGCTTTCTTCCTTTCCAGTCAAATTTGATCTAAAATGCAAAGTCAGTTGTCATCTGACTCCTTGAATCCTATTTTTTTATTGTCCTCTCTCCTTAAGGATTTTTCTCAGTTGCTTTCACCCTCAATAATCCCTTGTACTTTAGTGGCTTTTTCACCTTACTTGGAATGAAATGATTAAAAAAAAAACAGTTATCTCCTTGACAAATCAACGATGCTGAGGTTCAAACCTGGGCTTCATGTTCAGAATGTTATTGGTCTAAGCATTTTTCTTTAAAAAGATTCAATATAAATTTTTTTTTTTTTTTTTTTTTTTTTTAAGCATTTCACCCCAAGCAAGGCAGGGAGCCACTAGGACGCAAGGGGTTACAGAAAATTTAGAGCAATATCAGATAGGAGTGATA